CAACTGTCATATACCTGAGTTTATGTTACAGATGCACTTCTAGACCCACTTCTCTTGATCTCTCGAGGAAATCTGTGCATCTCTCCATTTAAAGATTATATACTGAATACCATACAATGGAGAGAAAAAGATAAATGACAAAGCTCTGCCCTTAGGAAGTTTACTGTTTAAATTCCACTGAAGAAGTAAGAAGGAGAGCCGGAGGAAACCCAGCTCCCCTTTTCATTCCTGGTAGAGAGATTCTGGGCAAACCCAGCTTGTCTCCTGGCTAGAAGAAGAGACTTTCCTCTCCCCAGGTCCAGGTGCCCTGGCAAAGCCCAACATTCTTCCTGAGCTGTGAATTCCGAGTACGCCTCGGTTTCTTCAATTTCCGTAAGCAACGTCGCAATACCTGGGCCACCCTCAGTTCTCTGAAATTCGATGATGAGGTTAAGGTAGAGTGGGAAACGACCACCAGCCTGGGACCAGGGTGTTAATGGTGCCAGGGCATGACTAGGAGCCCTAGGATGGAGGGTTAGATGGCAGGGGGCAACAGGTCCCCAACACCTCCATCGCTGGACTGGGGAGCAGGACGGAATCAGAAGGCTTCTTAAGAGCATGCGCCTGTGCCTACTGGCGCGCCATCAGGCACGCCCGCAAGAAAGCAGCGACAGCCAGAGGGTGCGTGTGGACAGCATGGTGGCCCTTGGGTGGGAGGCGTGCGTTGTACGCTCTGCTGTGAGCGGCACTGCCCACCCTAGGATGCCTCCGGGTCCATAGCAGCTGGGCCTACAGCCAGACACCCTCTGTGTTTGCTGGGACAGGAAAATGGCATAGTCCTCAAGCAGGTGTTCATGTGTACCTGTGTGTGCCTCCGTGGAGGCTGGTGCAGCAGCGTGACCCGGGAGTGCCTTAGGAATGAAGGAGGAACTGAGTTAGCCACCCCGACGTGGCAGGGGCAGGGGCCATCAGAGAGCAACTCGGAAGACGGACCAGACTCAGAACCCACCCAAAAGGCGACCATCAGGACACTGTGGTAGCCCTCGCTTCCTTGGTCTTTGGATGAGATCGCGGAACTCACAGGCCCTTGGAGGAAGGAGCAATACTGAGCATTCCACATTTTCCATCTGCTGCAGAATCCTTTCAAAATGACATCTAGAGATGGGAAGGGAGGCCCAGACAGGTCTCTCTTCTACCCCAGATCACTTTTCAGCTGCAGATTAGAGAAGCGGCAGGGGGCTAAGGCACAGGTCTGCCTTGTCCCCCCCATGAGCCTCCGGCTCTCACACCTGCCTTCACCCTCCCTGTATGTGGGTTTTTTCCAGTCCTCACCTGTCCATCCCCCTGACTCTTGAAATGCATGCTGCAGACACACAGAAGGAGAGGATCTGGGTAGCTGTCGGAGAAGTCTGGGAGGGCAGCACGTACGTCCCAGATCTTAAAATTGCCTACAGTCCCTAGAAATAAGCACTGGGGACGTGTTGCATGGCCGTCAGTCTAGTCCACCACCTACTGGCCATGGGAGGTATTGACCTGTTTGTGCAACGGCTTCCAGAACCTCCTGCACTTTGAAGTTCCTTTGCTGTGTGCAGGGCAACTTCACCAGGAAGTCCTCCCTTTTCATCCCACCTAAATCCCCTCTGCAACCTTGGTCCATCTTCTCTCGATGAAAGAGCACAGGAGCCGCCTGTCCACATGCACCTGCTTCTCTTATCTAAAATGTAAACACTGCCCAAATTGAAAGCCTATTTATGACTTGGCCAGGAAGCAGCGGAGTAGGCCTCGCTGGCTCTGGCATTCCAACTCTGGTCTTACTTTCCAGCCATTTAGTCGTCGTAGTTCTGCACTGGCTTTGTGCTACGTTTCCACTGTCTCTGGAGCCTGCAGGGGACCACAAGACCCTGATGAGTATCCTCGATACTCCTCTTTCCTGCCGCCTACATAATAGGTCCCATGGGGTCAAGTGGCACCAAAAGCCAGGAGGCACATCAAAACTTTAAGCCTGCCCTTTGGAAGCAGCCAAAAAGCCTGTGAACTGGGGAAGGTATGCCCTCAGGAACCCCACCTCTGTGAAGGTGGGGAAGGAGAGAGGGTTTGCAGAAGTGCTTTGAGTTCCTTAAGGAACATACAGGAATCTACATCGTTTTCCAGCATCAACATGTGCTTAGCCCCAAGGCCATACTTAAACACTTTCAGAGAAAAGAATAAGGTCAAAGAAAATTTGCTGCCAAGTTTACTGAACCACTGTTAAGAGCCCCATCCTCCTCCCAGGAAGAGTGAGTCAAGGTTAAGGGCAGCCCACAGCATTTCTTAGAAAAGGTCCTAAAAGATGGAGGGTCTTGAGAAGGGCTGTCAGTATGTGGAGAGCTGTGAGCCAGCATGCCTCCATCCATGTCCCCGGAGGCCAGAGAGAGAAGCCCCGTGAGAGGTGATGCCACATCTGGTAGATGACACCCTCTGACCAGAGAAGGAGGGGTAGCGCCCCCATTCCAGATGTCTTTAAGAACTAGAAAGAGCACCCTGAGATACGTTCATGGACTATTCCTGCTTGGACACAGGGAGATGGACCCGACGGTCTATTGGAAGGATTCCAGGAGCTGGTACAGCCTGCCACTGGGAGTATGCAGCTTCCTGGGATCTCCCCCATGGAAGAGGGGACTCCTGGAGCCCAGCCGCACAGGTGCCCCTGAGGACAATTTGCTGGCCCTCCAGCTCCTCTAGGGGAGCCGCTCAGCCCTCTCACAGGTGCTGGTCAGCCCCTGGGCTTCCCACACCCCCCTTCACTTCATCTGCTTACAATCTTAATTAGGGAAGGGGCGTGACCACGCACCACCAGAATGGCCCCCACCTTCCAATGGCAACCATCTCTTGCCCTCTCCTCTACCAGTGGTCAACCACTTTTTCAGAGTCAGAATGCTTGGTGATGCTCAGAGAGGTTGAGTGAAGCATCTCAGATCACTCAGCAAGATGGGCTCAGCAGCCCTTCCATGCCACAGTTGGCTTTTCCTCTCCACGCACCTTTCCCCAAAACCTGAGCCTTGGGTTTGGGCCTAAGTGCTAGATCACAGAGCCCTAGCTTTTCAGTTTGTACTGAGTCCCCCAAGCCAGCTCTGCTCCTCCCTGCACGCCACCCCACGCTAGCTTGTCCCACAACCAAGAATAGTGGCTTTACTCCAAACGTCACTCCTTTAGCTAACCCTTGAAGGCTCTCGTCCACCTACCGGGCACGTCGCCATGCTGATTAACAATCACAGTAGGTTTCATGGAGCCAAGGCAAGGTGGGAAGAGGGAGGGAAAGACCACAAGTGGGGGATGGATCCCGGCACTGAGTTTTGGTCAGAGAAAGCCTGCCCATTGCTCTGCCATTTGCTCTCTCCGCATCATCAACCTCTCCGGTGACTACTTCCCCTCATCTCTGTGGATAAATATCTAAATCAGCCAACCACCCAAAACACTGCAGACCTGTGGAGGCTTCTTCAGGGCGGGGAACTTCCCTGCCAGGGCCTTAAACACCGGATACCTGTTCAATTAAGTTTGACAAATCCCAAGCCAACAGACAAACAGGTGCTCAGGTGTTTCCTGCACCTGCCATCCTGACCGGGTTAGGCCAGGTCCCCAAATGCCTCCCTTACCCCACACCTGGAACTTCCCCTGGAGAGAGGGTTCCTGCCCCTGGGGACACAAAACAGGGTCTTCTCACCAAGATCCTCCTTCCCTGTGCATCCCCTCATCCCCACTTCCTTGGATCCCTCTCCTTCTAGTTCCCATCCCAGGGCCTTGTCATCATGGCTCCTGGAGAGCCCAGTGACAGTGGAGTGGGTGGAGAACAGGATTTTCCTTCATCTCGTTTGAGTTATTTGGGGTCACTCCAGAGCCCTTTTCTTCTCTTTCTAAAATTTGAAGAGAAAAGAGGCAATGAACACAGGCTGCCCCGCCCCTGCCCACCCCACCTTGCACCTGGCCTCACTGTGGGCATCCTGGCCACGTCCTGCCCACCTGGGAAGAGCAATGGAGCCCTCCCCACTCGGTCTGCCAAGGCCGGCGGGTCAAGGAGCTGAGAGGAGAATGGGGGGCCCAGAGAAGGGTGCCCAGAGATAAGAATGTACTGGAAGTCTGTGGATGGAGAAAAGGCCAGGGGGTAGAATTTTCAGATCAACCAATAAATGAACAAAGTCCTACTTCTTTAAAGGTCATAAGTCAGCTAAGTATAGACTGTCACCAAGTCTCTCCTATATATAACTGCTCCAGCACCAACCAGCTGCCAGCCTCTCTTGGCCTGGAGCTGAGTTCTGTTCCAGCCTCCCAGGGCCCAGAGCACAGAGCCAGCCTTGCGCCAGAGCAGGGCCTTGGGGTTCCAGGTCCCTCCACCCACACTGCACCCCTCCAGGCCCCACGTATCTGGCTCTCTCAGGTCCCCTCCTCTCCATGATGCTCCCCACCACCCTGCTAGTCTAGATCCCGAGGACCCTCCTGCTCCCGGTTTCCCAAGTCAAAATCTATCTCAGCTCCAACAGTCCTGGAAGCACAAAGACCCCACTCGGGGATAGACTTGGCCTCTCCTGGCCACGCTGGGCTGTCACCTATTTTCCTCCATCAGCCTGCATCTCTAGTTCGTGCTCTTCTTGGCAGCCCCAGCCCAGCCACTGCCCCGGCTATGTAGCCAACCCCACAGCAAGCAAGCCCCTCACCAGCGGCTGAGCACCCCCAGAGGCCACTTCCCTCCCACTCTCCCCTTCCTGCCCCCAGAATGTCCTGTCCCTCCTGTCATACTGGCCCTCATTTATCAGCCTGACCTTTTCAACCCCATTCCACTCCACAAAGTCTTCCTAGATTTGCTCCACTGGACTCCAGTCATACCAGCAGCTCTCCAGCACTTGTACGAGTGCTGACTCCTACGTCTTCCTTCTTTCCCTGCTTTCCCCCAGTCTGGGAAGCTCCCGGAGGGCAGACACCCTCGAGCCTCAGGCTCTGCCCTTGTGGCTCAGCCCCAGACGCCGACCCTCTGCCTGCTTCTCCTGCAGAGAGAGACTCCCGTGAGCACGAGGAGCCAACCACCTCCGAGATGGCAGAGGAGACCTACTCACCCAAGATCTTCCGGCCCAAGCATACCCGCATCTCCGAGCTGAAGGCCGAGGCCGTGAAGAAGGACCGCAGAAAGAAGCTGACCCAGTCCAAGTTTGTGGGGGGCGCTGAGAACACTGCCCATCCCCGGGTCATCTCTGCACCTGAGATGAGACAGGAATCTGAGCAGGTAAGTCTCACGGAGTTTGCAAACTTTGCACACTTTCTACACCCAGAGTGCCTGACAGGTACAAAGGAGGAGAGATCTTTGGGAGCGACTAGTTGGAACAAAATTCTCCATAGACCCTCAGCCCCCAGTGCCCTGGGCCACGCATTCTGCACATAGAGGTGCTTTCCCCTCGGGTCCTGCCGTGTCTCTCACCCCTGCCGTACTCACACAGGGCCCCTGCCGTAGACACATGGAAGCTTCCCTGCAGGAGCTCAAAGCCAGCCCGCGCATGGTGCCTCGTGCCGTGTACCTGCCCAACTGTGACCGCAAAGGATTCTACAAGAGAAAGCAGGTATGCCCCCGTCCCCCGTGCCCAAGTTCAGAGGGCTCCTGAAAGTGGCACTTGCCAGAAAACCTTTACCTCTAAATGCTTACAATGTCTGTCATTAACAATAGTGTTTCCTGAACCTCCAGTATCCATGCAAGTACCACAATCAGGAGTTTCCCCATTCCCTCCTGTACTATAATCTGCTTCCATTTTAGTGATCCACCTTACTTACGTGAATTCATTTAAAAAGGAAACTTTATATCACCGTGTCATTTCACATGTTGTATGCGCTATTTTCTGATAAACACACACATAAATATATGCACAGAGATAATGACTTCAAAACAAATTTTCAGCAGGTACCACCTGAAATAATCTATCTCCCATTTACAGCCAGGCTACCCTCTGGGCAACACTACTGTAGATTAACCAGTAATACTTAGCCTATTTGAGTGGTACCCATTACCTTAGGCCAGTGGTTCTCCCAGTTCCTGAAGCATCAGAATCACCTGGAAGGCTTGTTAAAACACTGATTGCTGAGCCCCACCCCAGAGTTTCAGGGATGGACTCTGAGAATTTTGCGTTTCTAACAAGTTCCCTCCCAGGTGACCCTGATGCTCCATAAGGATACCCTTCATCTAAGTTGGGGGTCAAGAGCCAGATGGCCTTGAGTCATTTGTTGGCTCTCCCACTTATGAGCTGCGTCCTCCTTACCTAGTTATTTTATGTCTCCTTACCTTTATATTTTATGAGGGATTATGGATTAATCTTTGTAAAGCACTTAGAACAGTCCCTACTCTGTAGGAAGTGTTAAGTAGTGTCTGGTACCTGATAAAGCTGTAGAAATGATGCATCATCATCATCACCATCATCATCATCATCATCATCATCATCACCAGATCACGTAGCTATATGGAGAATACCAAGCTGGAGGACCCTGAATGGGTGACATAAAAGAGATTGTAAGAGCTAGCCACGGGCAGACTGTCTAAGTGAGTATTTCCTCCTGGGGCCATCCCCCGTGCAGGGGGCATACCAGAACCCCGATAGTTGGGGCGGGGCAGACAAGGAGCAGGGCCAGAACAGGGGCCAGGCAGGAGCAGAGTCCAGGGGGACACAAAACAGGGTCTTCTCACCAAGATTCTCCTTCCCTGTGCATCCCCTCATCCCCACTTCCTTGGATCCCTCCTCACTGCCTATCACTCTCCCCACCGCAGTGCAAGCCTTCCCGTGGCCGCAAACGTGGCATCTGCTGGTGCGTGGACAAGTACGGGATGAAGCTGCCAGGCATGGAGTATGTCGATGGGGACTTTCAGTGCCACACCTTCGACAGCAGCAACGTTGAGTGACGCGTCCCCTCCCCGTCCTTCCCCCGCCCCCTCCCACCCCCAGCCCCGACTCCAGCCAGCACCTCCCTCCACCCCAGGACGCCACTCATTTCATCTCATTTAAGGGAAAAAACATACATATATCTATCTATTTGAGGAAACTGAGGACCTCGGAATCTCTAGTAAGGTCTCAACTTTCAAACCGGCAACAGCAGAGATGCAAACAGCTAAGGAGACCCCCCTTGAAAATGGTTTTCTTTTTGAGGCAAGTTGAATGGACAGGGAGGGAAGGGAGGAGGAACATGAGAGAGAGAGAGAGAGAGAGAGAGAAGGGACACGTGTAGAGGAGAGGGGGAGACAAACCGAGTTTCGAAGAAGGAAAGAAGAATGTGGGCAGGAAGGAAAGATCCCTGGGACCATGGCTGGACCCACCTTGTCGTGTCCAGCCCTGGCCTGAGTTGGGAGATGTTTGGGCACTGGAAGGTATGGCCCAAGGTGTGGCATTCTGTGGCACCCTTGAGGTTTTTGGTGGACTGGTCGCAGGGGGAGAAAGGAAACGACGGAAGGGGTCAGTGCCTCTCCTGGACCTATCTCCACCTCCAGCCAGCAAGCTGCCCGGCTTGACCCCGCCCCTCCTCCCCCTCCCCCGGCAGAGGGTTCTCCCTCCCCAAAACTTACGAAAACTAAAATGCATTCCATTCCTCTCAAGACAAAGCAAATGAATAACCGAGTGCTATTAGATAGATAGGTTTTCCGAAGCAGATACACAAAGATGATGTATGTGTGCATAATTCAGTCCCCATGCAGACTTTCAGAAAGCAGTACGCTCCCTGAGTGGAGAGACTTGCTCTTCCGAGGTGACTAGATCACGTCCACATGGGTGGTTCCAGCCCTTCGTGGCGCTCCATTCGCTACTAGCACGGCCTCTCTGGGGGAGGATAGGCTGAAATAAATGCAGCCTCGTACAGACTTCTCTACGAGGCTCCACGTAGTCATATATAAGGCATATACATCTATGTTCTTTCTTTTTTGCTTTCTTCCTTCCTTCCTTTCTTTCAAAGGTTTGCATTAACTTTTCATAATTCTTCCGGGGGCACTGAGGAGCTTCCTCATTCTGGGAAAACCAAGAAAACCCATATTCTTCTAACACACTCCGTAACTGCGGTTTTGCCAGCCCCCCAGGAGCGGCAGACCCAAGCCCTCGGCGGGCCACGGTGTTGGACTCCTTTACAATTTCCCGGGTGCAGGTGCGTCCGTAGGAACCACCAGCCAGGTAGATGAGGGCGCTCCGTGACACACACTCCCCACGTCCCCTGCACCTCTTGAGTTAGCCTTTAGACCCTCCGGAAGTCACCGGCTCTGGACCCTGAACCAAAGGAGCACATCAGGTCCAAGTTTGACCCCCAGGTCCTGCCCAGCCTTTTCCTTTCAACCAGGCAGAACCTGCATTTTGAAGCCGGCAGAGCAGGAGAGAGACTGAAGTGAGAGATGGCAGTGAGCAGGATGGAAGTGAACAGGTTTAAATACAGGGAAGTGGTAAAAGCGATTGCGAAGGCCAGAGTAGGGGGAGTGGAGGGACGGGGCTGGAGGGACGGCGGGGGACTGTCCCATTCTAGCTTTGGAGCAAAGCAACAGAAAGTGGGACAAAGCCAAGAGCAACTTCCTGCCTCCCCACCCTCTAAGCCCTTTGGGATTCAAGAGGAGAATGGGGGTGCAGTTTCTCAGTGAGAAATGAGCTGACACCAGGCCTGGGAGCTGGGGAAGGTGGGTAACGTCAGGTGGGTTCTAGAACCTAGCCACTGGACAGGAGCAAGAATCAGCACAGGCTGTCTGTGCCTTTGGAGGGACAAGACCATGCACGCAGGTGGCCACCTTCACCCTGCAATGAAGGACTGAGGACAGAGCCTTTCAAGCTCTTCACATCCTCCCTGGCCAGTGTAGGCTTTCTCCCTGGGATAGAGAATGGAAGAAAGGCCCAGGACAGATGGATGCCTCGAGGGTGCTGTCATTTGGCAGCCAGATTCTGAACCAAGAAAATTCCCGACCCCACTGACTTCCTCAACAAATCGGCAGCCTCAGGGCTGTCCTCGGAGTCCGGAGATAGCCTGAGAGGGAAGGGCCTTGGACACTGGCAAAGGAGACCCCTCCTCGCTGACAACACAGCTCTCTCCACTCTTCCCTGATGGCGTGACACCGTGGAGACCACTCCAGCACCGAACTTGGGGCCATGAGGAGGGATAGCGGAGAAGAAAATAGATTTCCGCTGGTGGGAAACTTGCAGCTGTGGAACTTGGCCGGGGGAGTCTTCTGCCCCCACGACAGGACAGTTGGCTGGGACAGGAGAGATGGTCGATTGTTACAGGACAAAAGGGCCTGATGGGGCTGGCAGCCACGAGGACTTGCTCGACCTGCTGCATCCGCGTGCCCCATCTCTCTGCACGACTGTCCCCAAACCCCTGACTCACATTTCTGTGTCTTAGGCCAGTATTGTAAACCTTTCCCACTTCACTCTTCTGTTTGCCCATTCTTTCTGTGGATCTTGAGCAGTCATCCAACTGGGATCTGCCATGTGGATACTGGGGTGCCATTCCCCCTAAGAAAAGACTGAGCCAGGAATCGCATACCCCACCCCAAACCCCTCCCAAGGCCCCTGTTCCTGAGAGGGGCTCTCTCTTTTCTCCCCTGCTGTTTACTGGACTCTGAATGGGTGTCTGCCCCTTCCTTCGGCTCTTTGCAATCAGCCATGAGGTGGGGAAGAGTAGGGCTGGTGTAACTCCACCAGTGTCTTTGGGTTTCCAAAGTTCATGCTGACTCCCCCAAATCTGTGAGTGCAGTACTTGCAGTGACTCTGCTCAGCTCGCCACTCCCTAGAGGACGCTGGAACTTCATGGTGGATGAGACTAACCTCCCAAGAGGGAGGCCTGGCCTGGGGAGGGAGTCATGGAGGAAGATGGAGCGTCCCTGGGGCAGGGTGGAAGAGGAGGCTGGTGGGAAGCGCTGCGAACTAGGATCCTGACCAAGGATCTTCTTGACTCCAGGCCTTAGGCTCTGGAGTTTTCTGTGGCCTCAAGACTAAATGTTGTCCCACCCACCCACCCAGCCAGCAGTAGGCCTCTTCCCTCCGCCTTTGACTCATGCCTCACTCTAGCAGGGGGCCGATTACCTGTCCTTCCCACTGCTGCCAGGTGATTGAGGGAGGCCTCACCAGGACCGATCCTCCATCCCCCAGAGCTTCCCTACCCACCTGGGCAAAGCAGGGCATCTGGGACAGAAGAGACTCCAAAGTTTCTCAGACAGCCAGGCCTGGACAGACAGGCCTGGGGACATTCAACCCCCCCACAGGGGAGGACGGGAGGCCCAGGAGGTCCCATGTGGTCTACCTCCTGTCTCCTCACCCATTTTCCCATCACTGTCTCAGTGGTCTCCACGGTAATCCTGCAGGGTCAGCCCCCTCCCCTGGGGAGGTGGGCCTGACCACGGCTCACCCACCACTCAGCTTGTTGGCGGCCACGCGGCTACCACGCCCTTCTCAAGGGGGCCCGGGGCTGCCCCTCTCCATCTGTTCAGCCCCCTCACCCCCAGAGGGCTGCGGTGCAGGTGGGAACTTCAGAGGGACGTGAGCCAAGGAGAAGCAAGCCTTGGGCTCAAAGAGGACATTTTTGGAGAAAGGAGGCTAAGTTTTGAGAAGTGGTGGCAAAGGGGATGGGGACTTGCCAGCCAGCCACCTGGGCGTTGTACTGTCTTTATTTTTAAAACCACTAAAGTGCAAGACTTACTTTTGCACTTTTCTCCACTTTTGTTTTCTCCTAGGTTTTTGGTGTTTCTTTTTATAAACGTATTTTCTTGGTTTTCTAATGGAGTATATCTTTTAGCCCTTCTCACAGACTCTGGCCCCCTCTCTAACTCCTCGCTCTGGAAGGGGAAAGGGAAGGTGGAGAGCCTCAGCCGCCTGCGCCGTCCCCCCCCAACTTCTCTGGTTCCCCCCGCCACCAGCCTGAGTCCCGAATCTCCCACCGCCACCACCACACAGTAGCCCACACGGATAGACAGTCGTCAGACAAGATTCCTTCAGATTCCGAGTTGCCTACCGGTTTTTTTTCTCTTTTTTGAAGACAGCAATAACCACAGCACATATTACTGTAGCTCTCTGTAGTCTTACGTACATACATATCATAGCTCTATTCTCTCTCCCTTTGTTTTGTTTTCGACTTTTTTTTAAATAAATGCTCATAATCTTTACTGGTGAAAAGGATGAAAAAAAATAAATCGACAAATAAAACCAGTTTGTGGGGAAAAAAAAAAAAAGCAGGAAAAAAAAAATCACCTGAATGCGGAGGGGCTCGCCTCCTGTTTAGCATTTTGTACCTGAGGAAATAAAAAAAAAAAAAAAAAAAGCCAGAGGATCTCACGTTTTATTAAAAAAGTGAAGATTGCTGTATACTATTTATTCAACTTATAATTTATGTTACTCCTTGATCTTTGTCTTTTGTCATGACAAAGCATTTATTTAATAAAGTTATGCATTCAGTTAGCCTGCGTCAGCGTCCTCCGAGGGCCCAGGGAAGGCAGGTGAAGGGCGAGAGGCGCAGGGGGGTCCACTCAGGCCACACTCCAGAGGGCAGGAGAACAGACCAGGCAGAAGCAAGGCCAAGGGGAGCCCCCAGACCCGGCCTCCCGTCCAAACCTGGGTGCCCCCTTCTCCATCTGTTCAAAATACCCCATTGAGTTAATGGGGTACGCAGCGTGCTTACGGCAGCAAGTGGTCAGTGCACGCTCAGCGACTGCTGTCACTATCGTCATCCCTAAATCCCAGCCCCTGCCATTAAGTAAAGTGGCCTTAATCTACCCTTCAGCCCATGATGGGTCTCCTTTCCTTGGAGAGGATTTTCAGGAAGGCATTTCTAGAACATTCCTCAGTTACTTATTCTAGTGCTTCATAAGCTCTTAACTCCTGGGAACCTCTGGACCAATGTGAATCCTACCACCCACTCCTACCCAGCCCCCAGCTGTCTCTGCCCAGTGAAGAAGAAACCTATGAAACACCTGCTGACTCTGACCTTAACCTTCCAGCCATGGTCCTACGTCTGCCTTTCCTTCCTCCCGGGCCCCTTGTTCCCAATCTCCATGTGTCCCCTTCACGTGTGGGGTGCACAGCAGCACCCTGCCCTTTATGCACCCCCCTGATGGCACCCTACAGGGCCTCCCAGTCCTTGGGCCCAGCACCCCCACTCTGCCCAGTCCAAACCCCAGCACCCTGCCCCATCCGAGGCACGGGGCCGGTAGAGTAATTGGGAGCATCCCAGCCTGGCAAGCGGTCGGCCTGTCGCTGGGCGTGCATCTTTCTGAAGGGGTCACTGAAACTCTCTTCCCTGAGACCCTTCAGCAGTGCGGTCCCTCAGCCAGCGCCCAGCAGTAAAGGCAAAGACGGAACAGGCCCCTTGGCCTTGCCTCTGCCTCGCTGCACTAGGAGGTACAGAGAAGGATCCGGAGTCTTCCCACTTTCCTTTGCAGGGGGGGTTAATGGGGGGACTCAGGAAGAGTAGCATTCGGAAGGCTATGCTGGTCCAGCTACCTGGCACCACCTGCCGCACGACTGTCTCCTGGCCTTTCCATCGGCAACTGCTCACCCTACTGCCACCCACATGCTGCTGGGGTGGGTGGGAGCCAACCAGGAGTCTTCTCCCCACTGCTCCTCCCTTAGGGCCCACTCTCCCATGCTCTTCTGCTGCCCTTGGGCCTCCTCTCTGCCCTGACAGCCCTCAAC